GTAACTAACCACACTCATAATCCATTTCATTTTGAAATAACTCTTGAAAGGAGAGACTTTTTGGAACATATTTACATGAACAGCAGTTGAAATATTTATATTAATTACCTAATGTAAAGCTCATGTCACAGAATTACCTATCATGTATTATTAGTATGAAACATTGTTAGTATGAAATCGAATGTCTGCATCATGTTAATAAGATTCATCAAATGTCTTGAGTAGGAAATGGAGTTCTATGGACAGGCAAAGGCTGGGAGCATACAGCCTCAGAAAGAACAGATAGTCCTCAGATGCCAGTGTGTTTTCTAATGAACTATAGAGAATATTCTAGATCTGTAAGAAGGCATGTTAGCGTTTGGCTACAAATAATGATACCATGGCTCTAGAGAATCCCATGTGGCCAAACCTACGGAACTGAGCAAACAGAAGGTGAGTCCCAGGGTACCACTTTGCAGCTCCCTGGCAATGAAGGTAGGGGTGTGGGCACTGGCTCCTCAGCTTCTCCAGAATTTATGTTCCTCAGGATTTGTCAGGACAGATTTTTATGAACAGAATAATTTCGTGACTGGCAATTGATCTTCATTTGGCTCTGGCTGCTAACATTTTAGACAGTCATCCTCCCAGTTAGGAAGATGGTCTTTGTAATTAAAATGATCCTCTACTTACCAGCTTAACATTTTTCTCTTGATCACTTTTGTTTTCCTCCAGCAGCATATTATTGTATTTCAAGTAGCTACTGGGATGGCAGAGAAGGGAAATTGATCATTTATCGACTATGGACTATATGCCAGTCACTGTGCTAAGTGTTTATGCTCATTAATATATGTAATCACAATATTGAAAAATTGCATTAGTGGTAGTCATTAAGTGATGAATTTGAAATAAACAAGATACTTAGCAGTTCTTCATATAAAATAAGCCAATTTTCCTGGTCAGATTTACTTAAGAGGCCTGTTGCCCAAAACACTATATATATGTGTGTGTATATGTGTATATATATGTGTGTATCTGTATATACACACATATAGAGGGAGAGAGAGAACACATGAGAGAGATAATTTAAAAGATATAGTTATATCTATTAATTTGCATATTCATGAGGCAGGGTGTGAAATGATATAGAATAAAGAGGTGTAAGTCCCACTCCCTTTCCTTAGATTTTTTTTCAGATTTTTATCCAAATGAGGGAAATAAGTTATGAGTTCAAGAAAAATCAACTAACTGAAACAGAATTGAAAACTGCTTAACCCACCAATGCAGCTTGTATAATAAGGCATTACATAATTAATTATGAAATAAATATTTCAGATTATAAATGCACTAAATGTTCACAGCAGGAAAACATTATTGATTTCTGACCCCTGATTTTTTATTGCCTGTAAAATACAGATAATATCTACTTCATAGTGAGAAGTTTGTAAAATAATGTACATAAAGACTTAGCATGTTGCCTGTTACTTAGTACACCTTCAGTAAATTATAGCTATTTCTGTTGATAATGAAAATTAGGATGATAATAAGAATAACAAAAATAATACTGTATTAGGCTGACTGCCATGGCTATCCAAAATCTCAGTAGCTTAACACAATGCATGCCTATTTCTCAGTCGAGTCACAGCTCAGTGTGGGTTGACAAGGAAGCTCTTGCTTCTCTAGTCATTCAGGCATGACATTTTACTGCTCAGCCTTCCTCTAGGTGCTTGGAGCCATCGCCATCTGACCAGCAGAGGCTATGAAACACTGACGATCAAGCCAGGGAGGTTTATATGGGCCTAGCCTAGAAGTGGCACCCGACATTTCTGTTCACATTTTGGACTCAGTTGCACAGTTATGCCTTACTGCAGTGAATATTGGGAGATTTAGTCAAATAGTGTGCTCAGGAACAAAGAATGTAGATATAGATGAGCACTGGCAATCTCTATCACAAATAATATTTAGAAAGGCTTAATACGAGAGGAAGAATTTTCCCTGGATTTTTTTTAGAGAGGAGAGTGAAATTTGTTACAGGTTGCCCAACCTGCCTTTAGTGTAGGTAGTATGTAAAGAAGAAGGGTAGAAGAATTAAAATCCTACTAGCATCATTAATAAAAATTACACACTTATCCCTCTAGTCACTGCTTTTACTGTAAGCCATTTGGTAGTGACCTTGGGTAAGCCATTTATCTGCCACAGACCTCCATTTCCTCACTTATAAGTAAGTCTTTTTCATAGAACTGTGGTGAAAAGAGTTTAGTGCAGGGTCTGGTCCAGAGTAAGCACTCAGCAAAACTTGTTATTATTGGTAGTGTTAATGAGTATGGCCTTAAATGAAATGCTTGCTAGCTGCTCATTCATTTAACATCTTTCCTAAAGCACCATGTTAGACCAGCAAAGAATGACTTGATCAAGATATTTATATGAATTTTAGAATTTTATAACTTCAGGCAGGTAAAAGGAGATAAATGTTCCCCTGGAAGAATATTGGTGGAGAAACGCTCTCTTTTCCCCAGGGCTTCCTCCTTCTAGTCAATTCCACAGACTTCCCTCCCCCCCACCTCCAACACACACACACACACTGCTGTGATATATGACAGTGGAGAGAATTGTTTTAGACTCAGCTCTTATATGCGACTGCCCTTATTGGCGCCGTCTCACAAGCCTTGGTTCTCTGTTGGAAGAGCACAGTATGAATTCCTGCACTATAGATCGGGAGGATGAAGCGAGATGATGCACGTAACGGGCTTCCTGTGTGTCAATACTGGGCACGCAGTAAGTGCTCAGTAACTGTCAGTTACTACTACTGTTATTATTGTCACATGCTCTTGTAAATCGACCTTCCAGTCTACTTACTTGGCCAAGGTTTTGCACAGTTACAAATTGGAGAACTACTGGGAAATGTATTATATTTTTAGTTCTCTTTCAGGCTAATAGTGGAGTGGTGCACTGTGGTCACAATTGATGGGAAAAATGGCTTGTCGTCCTCTCTCGGCTAAAAGGAGGGGGAGCCTAGTTAACCCCCAGTGAAGCCCGGGAGAGATGAGGCTCGCGATGGGAGAACTGTCCATCGTGAGAAGGTGAAGGAGTAAGGGATGGCTATGCTGAACCCACTCACAGAGATGAGAAGGGCTGAGTGTTGTGTGGGTATGTAGAAGCCGTCAGAAAACGGAGGCTCTGTGAAATATAAGTTAAGACTCCACATGAGGCGTTCCATGAAGGGTTGGGAAAGCTCTAGAACTGACTGCAGAGACTGAGTCGTGCCCCTGAAACCAAGGCCAGAGTTACTGGAGCCCTTCCTTGCAATTGGCCTTGGTTCCTCGCCACTGGTGTGTTTTCAGACGTTCACCTGGAACTCAGTGGAGTGACTCTGCGAGCAAGTCACTGTGGCTCAGTAGGTGCAGAAAGCTGGCTGACCTTTGAAAAGGGAGATACCCAGTTGCACCATTGCAAAAACAGGTTATGCCGAGTATAGAGTTTCATTCTTAAATTTGTATTGCCGAGGAGAAAGCATGTCTGGGTGAAAGCAAGGTGGGAACTGGGTTCTGAAGAGAGAGAATAAAACAATTTGTATTTCTGTAGAACATTCCTGCAGTTGACATATAACTTTAAAATTTTTTTGTCACTAGCTATCTTTTAAAATTTTTGATGGTGGTGTTTAGTTTTGGAGAAGAGATTTAGGGAAACCCAGGGGACACAAGCATGGCTACCTCCTGGAGACAGCCCAGGAGGGATAGTAATCGATGTGGCCAGCTGGGTGCTTTGGAAAGCACGTGCCCGATGGCAAGAGGCCGTGCACAACTTGGCATCAGCCAGTTCTCCCCCTGCACGAGAGTTGTCCCCAAGGCCAGATTTTTGGGGTTTCCCAGAGAAACTAGGAATTTGGAATTTTATGTGAATCTTAGCAACAAATTCGTATGTTTTCCCCCCAAGATCACCATGGAAAACAAACAAACAAAACAATGGGCTATTTTAGACCTGTGGACTTTCTGTTTGCAGTGCATACCAAAGAATGAGGAGAACAATGCACAACCTGGTGTTAGATAGCTCGGCCAGCCAGGGTACTTAGCATGGAGCTCATTCTCAACATGTCTTTATTAAACTGACTAAGAAACTTTTCTTGGTTTTCAGTCTTTTCACGTATAGAATGGAAAGATTGGAGTCAGCCTTCAAAGTTTCATGTTTTGTTTATCCAGCTCTAACTTGGAAGGTAGATCAAAACTTCTGTGTTGTCTTCCCTTGTAGGGCCCACATCTCCAAACCTTTTCCTTCCCTCTCATGCCCTCCTGAAGCCTGTAGAGTTTGAGTCATGTGCTAACGCTCAGCTCAGTGGTTTGCCTAGGAGCGAAGGTTTAAGAAATGAAAGCAAGTTTATATTGTTATGCTTCAAAACACGATTGACTTGGCTTAGCTTGTTTTGTTTTTTTTCCTTTCCTTTATCATGGTTAGTAGGTTTTTGCTTAATTTCTACAGACTTGATTACATACCAAGAGGTTATCCAGATTATGCCTTAAGTTTGCATTAAGGCTCTCAGTCTTAAAAGGACACAGAAATGTTACTCTTAGAAAATGGCCATCTTCCCCGTAAAAGTCAATATGACTCTGCCCAGGTAGCAGTGTGGGCTTTTCTCTATTTAAGGTGAATGAAGGGATTTTTCTGAAGCTTGGACATTCTGCAATAACTTCTTTTATAATAAATTCTGGTGATATCTGTACTTTTGTTTTCTAATGCAAAATTTTTTACTGTCTCTGGCAAGATTATTTTTGTTGTAGTTATCACAAATCAGTTAAAAAAGTTAAGTTCATAAGAAGGTGGATCATTTGCCCTAGAGTCTAAAGCAGGGGTCCTCAAACTTTTTAAACAGGGGGCCAGGTCACTGTCCCTCAGACCGTTGGAGAGTGTGCACTGTGGGCCCGGGACGAGTTGGCTGCTAAGCAGGACAGGCAGCGGCGGCAAAAACACCCGGCGGGCCGGATAAATGTGCTAGGCAGCTCGCGCATGTGGCTGGTGGGCTGTAGTTTGAGGATGCCTGGTCTAAAGGGTTCTTAGGTCCCTAGGGAAGCTAGTGCTTTAGGCCTCTGGGGCACTGAAACAAGGACAGGAAAGCCCAAGAACCTCCCACTATTTCCCTCTCTCTCTCTCCTGGGGGGAGGATAATGGGCTTATGTGACCTCCTGGGTCAGATTCACTCTGAACAGCACATTCATTCTGTCATTCTTTTTGCTGACTGCTTTTTCCTATAGATTGAGAGAGCTCTTAGAGGTAGCTTGCAGCCTCAACCAAACTAGACCCTCTGTTCCAATACCAGTTGCAAGGAGAACAAATTGAATGTCTTAGTTTGAGTCATGTGCCTATAGTCACATAGTACAAATATGACCTGGCATGGGGTTGAGAATTACATGGTGCTTAGAAAAAGGGTCACCATGAGCTAGGTAGCTCCTCTAGGAGAACCATGTCTTCCATAATCTCTTCATCTCTCCCTTAAAATATGAGTACATAAATTAAATGTATGCTTCTCAGGACTTTGGAGAACATTCCAGTTATGTCTTCTTGTTTCCATTGCCTCTCCTAACTGGCCATCATTTAAACTTTTTTTTTTTTTAATTTCATTTATTGTTACATAGTAGATGTTAAATGAGTAAAAGATAACAAGTTTTATGGTTCTAAGAAAAATTACCCAGTCTATTTAAAACTATTTCTTTTTAACTATTTCTCTTTCTCTTTGCCAAACAAATTGAAGTTGTTTAGGCCGTTTGGTGTACTGAAAAGGGAACTAAATAGCACCAAAGCCCTGAATTCTAGTTACTGGTGATTTTAATACACCATTTATTTGCTGAGTAATCTTGAGCAAGTTATGATCTCTCTCGATCTTCCTCACTGGTAAAATGTAAGTAATAAGAACAGCTCTTTTGAACACGGGTTATTGTGAAGATCAAATGAGAGAATATATACAAGCATATGATAGGGTGGTTTTTTTTCCCCTACCAAAGAAAGATTCCTGACCTCTCTTCTAAGTAGAGAAGTTACTATTTTAAAATGCTTATTTTTAGTAACTGCCACTACTATTTTTCTCTAAGAATCGGATTTCCTGCAAAGTGTTTTTAAGCTATGCAAGCTAGTAAATGGTGAATTCTTTTGAAGCTGATACTATCTCGAGGGAGATTTCATAGGCCCCCAAATCCGCTGACTTTTCTTGGATCCTTTGGAGAAACAGTTGGATTTTCCAGATGAAAAATTAAAAAATGGTTGACCTAGTGAAATAAATCAAGCATAGAGCCTAATCTGATGTCATTCTTGTTCCACCTCTACCTCCTATCTATTCTTTTGCCATCAGGAAGGTGAATGGCTATCTTGAATATAATATCTTTATTGACTGTCTGGTAACGTGTAGCTTATTTACTTTAAGTGATGTTGCATAGCTGTAAAATATTTAGGATGCAAAGAACTGAATTTTGACTCAGGACAGACATGTTAAGCAAAATAGTGGCTTTTACTGGAAGTAAGGCAGAAAAGAAACACTAAAATGGAAATCAGAGAAATTTTTAAAAAGAAAGGAAACTGAGAAGAAATTAGAAATCTGAAGAGAAACATCTGGTTTATAAAGATTGTAGGAATGATTTTAAACATTGCTGAATAGCATTTTGTGGGTGAATAAGACTGACACTGTTTTTAAAAGGGAGAAAGCATATAACCTAGGGATAACTTAAAAGCCAATAAAGATAATTATGAATAACTGTTCAATATATGGCATGGAATTTTAGCCACTGACTTTCAGGGATGCTTCAGCAGTAGAATCTCAAGCCACAGAAATATTTGGGTTACCATCATAGAGTATATGAATATAAGTAAAAATTGAGCAAAGCTGTATTCCCACCACCCAACCTTGGCTTATAGCCAGTGAGGATTATAGGAAGTGAAGTGTATTGTAGTGAATTTTTCATATGAAATCAGCCTGCTTTGTGTTTTATGCTTTGACAGCATCTGCCCCGTAGCTGTGCCATTGCCCATATTTGCTGCTCTTTCTCTTCTGCTGCTTGTCAAACTTGAAAACCAGCTTAATTTCTAACTCTGGATTGTTAATCTCCAGTCTCCTTATTCCTTAACTCACTCTTCCTCTTCAGATTAATTAAAAAGTAGCCACATTTTACCCGAAATACATAGACATCCAACTGTGAAGATAATAGTGTGCATATTTTCCTCATGCTTTTTAGGAAGATGATTTGATTTTTCGTTTCCTATTTGAAGTATTAAGAATTGCTTTTACAAACTGCTGAATGATAAAGACAGAATGGGCTCTCCAAATAATAATATTATTCAGTGCATGTGTTTTTTTAAATCTGTGATTCTGACAGGTTTCATAGGAGCAGGCTTTCTGAATAGCCATTTTAAAAATTAAGTGAAAACTCATTAGTGGCAAATTACACACAGTGATTTTAATCCCCAGCAGACTGACTCTGTGTACATATTAAATAGTCATTTGTTCTTAGTTTATTGTAACTATAGCCAATTAAGTTCATTGTAAAACAAACAAACAAAAACCTGAATTGCATTTGTTGTAAAATTGGTAAAGTATCTTGAAATTTAACCATTTGACATTTCAAAGCACATATAATAATTTTGGAACATCTGGCAACTAATGAGGTTTCTGATTAGCTTTATCCACTGTTTGATCTCTTTGCCCTTTTTTCTGTTTTTGTAGATCTGAACAGAATTAAGAAGAAAGAGCTTCCACAACCACAGCAGATGAAGATCCACTGGTAAATCAATCAGGATTTTTCGCTTGCCTTCCCAAGAAAAGGTAACTGGCTGTTCTGATATAGTATAGTCGAACAAATGCAATGCTTCATATTATAAAGTTTTACCAAAGGTGTTAGTTTTAAATATTTAAGGTATCTGAGTAAGATCTCAAAATTTAAATGTAACTCTGAATATGATCTTACTAATATAAAATGACAGTGATATTATTAGGTGTTTGTTTCTTAACAGGAAAACTGCTAAATAACAACCGCTCCAAATTTGTTAAAATTGCAGAAGACTTTAGAGATGGACTCCTCTTCTCTCCCAATGCATGCCCTCTTTTTTTCTGGAAAGTTGTCCAAAGGTGTGCTCCCGTATTTCTTTCCAGCTCCACTTCCCTTAGCTCCTGTTTTCCTCTCTCCTTGCATAACACAGACCCGCCTGCTCGGGGCAGGGAAGACCCTGAGCAAGATTATAAAACGGGCAGGAGCTCCTCAGGCCCACTTTCTGGGTCCAGTGCCTTTGGCCAGGCTGCCAGACAGCTCTATGCTAATGAGCAATCGCAGACTGTTACAAAAATAGCAGCCACCATTAGTGGGGTTTCTCACTGCATGTCAGCCATCATGCATTTACTGTTTGGGGAGGAGAGTGGCTAAGTTTCACACAATGTGCAAAAGAGGAAATTGCTGGAGAGGAATTTTGATTAAAACAAACTAACACAAAAAATCTACATTTCAGGAGCTTCAAAAAGGATGTGTCAATTCTGTTTAGGTGTTTGCCATGTTTCCCCAAAAATAAGACAGGGTCTTATATTTATTTTTTCTCAAGAAGACACCCTAGGGCTTATTTTCAGGGGCTGTGTTATTTTCGCCTCAAAGCCTCAGCTTGCAGCACGCACAGGATGGCCGGGACCTGACTGGGGGAGGCGACCTTGTTGGTGGGGCTGCCCGCACCTTTCCTGTCACCTCCGGAATAGGAGCTGTGCGATGGGGCAGATGAGAAGGGCTGCTCCTGTTCTTTCCTGCTCCCCAACGACATGCATGGGTTATGCAGATGCGCTGGGCAGCCATGCCCATCACTAGGGCTTCTTTTCATAGCCACGCCCAGCACTAGGGCTTCTTTTCATAGCCACGCCCAGCACTAGGGCTTCTTTTCATAGCCACGCCCAACACTAGGGCTGATTTTCATAGCCACGCCCATCACTAGGACTTCTTTTCATAGCCACGCCCAGCACTAGGGCTGATTTTCATAGCCACACAGGTCACTAGGGCTTATTTTCGGGGTAAGGCTTCTGCCTTGCAAATGCTTAGACATCCTGCTAGGGCTTATTTTATGGGGAGGTCTTATTTTCAGGGAAACATGGTAAAAGAATAAGGATCTAGGTAGCCATGAAGTCTCCATCTTCAAAATAGGCCCTTAAAATTTTCTGGGCTAAAGATGAAGGGCCAGCAATGCAGAGGTACCCTTGGTGATCAACAGAGTCATCACAGTGGATGACATTCATTGTGCCATGTCTGTAAGGTGCCAGGGAAGAGAGAATCAAGGTGTTCCTGTATGGTGGCCAGCCATTGGCAGTGGAGGGATTTGGGAAGAAGGAAACATAGAATGCCAAAGGAGCTCCTTAGTCCATAACTATCTGTAGGGTTTTACTGTGTGCATTGGGATTGTCTCTGGGAAGAAAAAGAGAAGACTAGGAAGTGATTTCTGTGGACTACAATTAGAACCTACGTTATTGAAGCCATAAGGGAATCAGTGTTACTTGTCCCACAAAGATCCAATTACTGAGAAAAGGAGGACTGCCAAGGAAGAAAGGGATTTTTTAATATGCAAGACATCTTGGGCTGGGCCGCTTAGGCCTGTAATCCTAGCACTCTGGGAGGTCAACGCGGGAGGATTGCTTGAGGTCAGGATTTCCAGACCAGCCTGAGCAAGAGCAAGACATCATCTTTACTAAAAATAGGAAAAATTAGCCGGGCATGGTGGCACATGCCTGTAGTCCCAGCTACTCGGGAGGCTGAGGCAGGAGGATCACTTGAGCCAGAGTTTGAGGTTGCTGTGAGCGAGGCTGACGCCACGGCACTCTATCCTGGGGGACAGAGACAGAGACTCTGTCTCAAAAAAAAAAGACATCTTGTCAAGGAGAATGGGAAAAACTGCCTCGAAGGCTTTTAAAGGAGGGTGAGTCTTAGAGTCAGGGAGTCTGCCTAGGGGACTTCAGAATCTCAACTCCTTGTCTTTCAAAAAAATCTACCTTTTCTGGGAAACAACTCAAAATGTCAGATAGTTAAGGGACAGAATTATAAAAAAAACATAGGGGGTCATTGAAATTTGTTCTTAGAGCCAGTTACACTTATGCTTTTTTGAATACTATACCAATGAAAAGATTAATATGATACCAGAAATTAAATGACAAGAGAGAAAGGAGAGGAGTCATGAACTCAAAAGTCTACAGAGACCAGAGAGACCAGATCGAACAAATTGGAACTCTGAGAAACTGTCAAGTTCATTGACACATTGTAGGCCCAATATCTATTCTTTCAGCAAATATTTATTGAGTACCAACCTACGTGTTATGTTCTCTTCTGGGAACCAGGGATAAATTAGTAAATCAAAGGGACAAATGCCCTGCCATTGAGTTGGCATTTACCTTTTTCATAATTGACAAAAATATGTATTTATCCTGTATAACCTATTCTTTCAAAATATGTATATACTGTAGAATGGCTAAATCAAGCTAATTCACATACCCATTCCTCTACATACTTACCATTTTTTGGTTGTGAGAACACTTAAAAGCTACTCTCTTAGCAATTTTCAAGAATATGATACATTGTTATTAACTGTAGTCACCATGTTGTACAATAGATCTCTTGAATTTATCCTTTCTGTCTAGCTGAAATTTTGTGTACTTTGACCAACATCTCTCCACCCCCAACCTTAACCCCCGGTAACCACCATTCTAACTCTTCTTCTATGAGTTCAACTTTTTTATATTCCACATATAAGTGAGATTGTGCAGTATTTGTTTTTCTGTACATGCTTTACTTCACTTAATATAATGTGCTCCAGGTTCATCCATGTCGAAAATGACAAGATGTCCTTCTTTTTTTAAGGCTGAATAGCATTCCATTGTATACATATACCACATTTCCTTTATCCATTCATCCATTGGTGGATACCAAAATTAATTCCACATCTTGCTATTGTGAATAACGCTATAATGAACATGAAGTGCAGATATCTCTGCATTATACTGATTTCATTTTCTTTGGACGTATAGCTAGAAGTAGGATTCCTGGATCATATGGTAATTCTATTTTTAATTTTTTGAGGAACCTCCATGCTGTTTTCCATAATGGCTGTACTGCATTTACCTTTTTTTTTTCTTGTGACAGAGTCTCACTCTGTTGCCCTGGCTAGAGTGCCGTGTCATCAGCCTAGCTCACAGCAACCTCAAACTCTTGGGTTCAAGTGATCCTCCTGCCTCAGCCTCCCAAGTAGCTGGGACTACAGTCATGCGCCACCATGCCCAGCTAATTTTTTCTATATATTTCTAGTTGACCAATTAATTTCTTTCTATTTTAGTAGAGATGGGGTCTCGTTCTTGCTCAGGTTGATTTCGAACTCCTGACCTTGAGGGATCCTCCTGCCTCGGCCTCCCAGAAAGCTAGGATTACAGGCACGAGGCACCACGCCTGGCCTGCATTTACCTTTTAATTGTGGGAAAGAGTTAAAAGACAGCAAATATAAGTAAATATTACATGATAATAATTCATTAGAAAAAACAGGTCAGGGGAAGGAGAATGTTCTTGCTAGAGTGAACAGCCAGTGCAAAGACCTAAAGCAGGAGCTTGCCTGAGCTATGCAAGCAACAGAAAGGAAGAAGCTAGATCTGAGTGAATGATTGGAAGAAAATTGTAGGAAATGAAGTCAGACAGGTAACAAGGCAAGGGTGTATGGCCTCATATTTGCTTTTTTTATTTTTTATTTTTTTGAGACAGAGTCTCACTCTGTTGCCCAGGCTAGAGTGCCATGGCTTCAGCCTAGCTCACAGCAACCTCAAACTCCTGAGCTCAAGTGATCCTCCTGCCTCAGCCTCCCGAGTAGCTGGGACTTACAGGCATGAGCCACCATGCCTTGCTAATTTATATGGCGTCATAAACCATTGAATGGGTACATATTATACATAATACTTGTTGCATGATGCTTTAAAATTTTGAGGGGGGCTGTCTTTCTGCTTCTTTCTTTTGGACCGTTACATTACATGCTCTACTTTCATTTGTAAAAACTAAACAAAACAAAAATGCTGAAAAGTAATGCGACATACCTGTATTAGAAAGAGGATGAGATACCATATAATATAAAATTAGCTAACACTTACTGAGCACTTACTATGTGCCTGCACTGTTCTAAGCATATTAATTGTTAAATCATAACAACCCGATGCAACAGATACCATTCTGTTCTTCCTTTTAGAGAGATGCTAACGGCGGCAAAGACAGAAATGTCCTGTCAGGGCCCAGGATTAGGTGATGACAGAGATGGGTTTCAGGATGAGCTTCAGCTCTAACTTATCCTTCCCATGAGGGACACTGTGGCTCATAGCATCCAATCTTAGGGCTTTTTCAAGAGAAGGCAATTGGGAATTCTTATTTTAGAACATTTGAAGTTTGAATGTTGGCTTTAAAACAATATGGTTTTATTGAGATATCATTCAAATACCACAAAATTACTCATTTAAAGTATATAAGTGGCCGGGCGTGGTATCTCATGCCTGTCATCCTAGCACTCTGGGAGGCCAAGGTGGGCGAATTGCTCAAGGTCAGGAGTTTGAAACCAGCCTGAGCAAGAGAGAGACCCCATCTCTACTATAAATAGAAAGAAATTAATTGGCCAACTAATATATATAGAAAAAATTAGGTGGGCATGGTGGCACATGCTTGTAGTCCCAGCTACTCAGGAGGCTGAGGCAGAAGGATTGCCTGAAGCCTGGAGTTTGAGGTTGCTTGTGAGCGAGGCTGATGCCACGGCACTTACTCTAGCCTGGGCAACAAAGTGACT